TGCCCTCATTGGTCATGTGCGCGTTCGTGTGTTGGAGGAGGGGCTCTGTAAGGAAGTGGCAGATTTTTTCCGGCTGTGTATTTTCAAATTCTGGCGCACTCAAGCTGGTTTCTCCAAAATGACCCACCCCACCTTTAAGTGGTGGAATAGATCAAATAATATTCAGTATATCTAACAATTATTTGCAAAGTATCAACAAAGCTTACATTATACAAATGTAATGCAATATAGCCTACAGACTGTTTAGCTTATAGTGATCAGCAGCACTATGAGCTCATTCTCTCAGTGTATCATCAGGAATACAGACACACACACACATCATTTAAATAAGAGTTTTTTTATTAAATTATTGGTTAAGAATAAACATTTTAAAGTAAATAACAATAAACAATAGCCGTTAACCCTGTAAGGCCCCCGGTTGTAATTTTACAACATTACTTTAAGCTATCCTAAAAAAAGTCAGTAAATGTTTTGTTTTTTTAAAAGACTACATTAGTCAAAAGGTCCTTTTGTTCAGCCTCACATTGCTATTGGGTAGTAAATGTGTTTAAAGGCCACGCCAGCTAAGCACAATTGCTGTAACCACACCTCCAGAACCCAACCCACTCATTTATGCTTTAAATAACTCTACCTGTACAGGCTTGCATCTATCTTGTTGTCCAATACTAACCGCACAACATTTAATGACACTGAGCTGTGAAAAATATAACACTGTGCAGACGTGCAGCATTCTGCTGCAGTATAATTCACTATTTGATATAAAACTAACATTCCTGACAATATATCTCAATTGTCATCTTTTATGGTGTAAATGCATTTTTAATAATTATATTTTTTAATGGAACATTCTCAACATGAATGCATAAATCTAAATAAATATAACTTAAATATGTGGGAAAACATTGTGTTTGAAATGTGTAATTGAAATTAGATGCTAACTTTTTGTTTTGATATATATATATATATATATATTGTATTCCAGTCTCGCTTCAGATATGTTAAGTGGCATTGCATTCAACACAATGCTGCTCACCTCCTTCAGTTGGGAGAAAAGCTGGTTCAGGTTCAGCCTTATGGATGGATGGATCTGTTGGTCCTGGCACCAGGGGGAGGGACAACTGATTTAGTATGAATAGCTGCTAAGAATCTACCTGCATTTGCTAAATGTCAGCTAAAAGAGCAGTGCACTTAAAAACCTGTATAGATATTAACAGTACTTAATGTCAGCTTAGTAAAAAAAAACATAACAATTATTATTTACAATGGACTAAGCTTAGCTAACAGACACAATTCCACCACTCATGGACCACACCCGCCTTTTCTTTTGAAAAACTGGGTGACATACTGTTGCCCTTTAGTCCCTCTCTCTTGTTTTTCTCTCCTTTCTTTTCTCTTTTGAAAGACTGACTTTGTGAGTCGTTGAGACATGGCACTACACACGTAAGTACTAGCATCCCTGCTCCTCACATGCTCACACTACTCTCTGCTAGAAAGTGCCGGCGGTGCTGAACCGCGTTTGGAGGCAGGACCAAACCATTACATGTAAATAGAAGGGGGTGTACTTGGGATAATTAACTTTTGGAAGAAAATAAGTTAAATGAATTGTAAGTTTAGTGAGTACTTTACATTATCGATATAACGTCCAATAATGTTAATTCTTGACGATTGATGAAAGGTTACTTAAACATTTTTTTAATGTTCTAAAATAGTTTGGGCCCCTTGTCTGAGGGTGTTCGGGGTGGCCAGGATTCAGCTCTGCCACTGCACTTAGCAGTGGGATGCGATTGTGTTAGTGTCTTTAAATTATTTTTTAAACAACTCTCCTTCTCTGTCTTTCTAGGTGATGTCATTAACCTGGGCGACAGACAGCTGAACGTGCTCCACATGCCCGGCCACTCGCGGGGCAGCATCTGCCTCCACGACCGGGACAATAAGATGCTCTTCAGTGGAGATGTAGTGTATGACGGCGCCATGATTGACTGGCTGCCCTACAGCCACGTCAGTGACTACATCAGCAGCTGTGAGCGTCTGGTGGGGCTGGTGGACAGCGAACAGGTGACACTCAAACACAGCTGAGGGCAGACAGACTGTATCTGCTACTTCAGCTCATAGTGCCACTGCCTTGGAGCAGATTTTATTTAGCATCTTTGTTTTCATTGTCGAGTGAACTGGTTATCTTTGTTTGAAAAAATGCTGAAAAGCGTTCATTAGTATTTCCCAAAGAGGAAAGATTAAATCATCAAGTTTATTTTTGTTTTCACAAAGCAAATATATTTTGAGTATGTGACTGAGGAGTACATAAACCAGAAAGTATTTACATTTTACAAGCTGGATTCAAACTTTTGTTTAAATGTTTTCTTTAAAAACTACTCTAACTAATACATTGATAAGCAACATGGTTAATTTAAATCTGAAAACGTATTGATGAGTCTTATAGCTCTACTTTGATCCATAAAGTATCTAATCCAATTGTCAAAATATTGTATTGTTTTCATATTATGAACATGTCATGGTCCTCTTATGTAAGTACATTTTAGGGTTATTGGTTTTCACTAACTACCCTCTGTATTAATGAGATTTCATACTTTATGTACAACCTACATTTTTCCAGAAACTGTTTATTAAAATAGGAAATATAATTATTAAGTATGTTGCGTGTTAATCCTCAATCAAGATTTACCAGCATTTGTGAAGGAGCTGCAGATACAGAATTCAGATCCATTCAGAACCCAGAGAAATGACACTGCTTATGACTTGTGTGTTCATATAGCATGTGCTGTACATTCTTTTATAAGTGTTTAACAACTGGCCGTTCATTTTACAGGTGGACCAAGTCCTCCCAGGACACTACAACACCTTCGGTGCGAAGCGGCTGCACCGGATAGCATCGTCATACATCAGCAGAGCTGGCACGTGCCCTGCAAAGTTCTCCACGTTCGCCTGGGGAACTCTGGCTGGGGTGGCGCTGCGGGCGTTTAACCCCCGCTGTGCCTGCTGAGGAGAGAGGACCATGGAGTGTGAGGAAGCACAAGTGCACAAAGAAAGATATTTAAATATGGAGGGCACTCTCATTTATCTGTATCTCGATGTATCATTGTTCATTTACTTATGTAATCCAACGTATATCATTGAATTGCCAAACTTTGTGTTAAATGCCCTGTTTGGGTTACATAAGTCAATAATCAGCATCATAGCATACAATATAAAGTATATTATGTGATTCTGTTCTATACTAATCGATATGTATTTGTTAATATGGTTTTTTATACTTTGAGCATTTCAATTATTAATAGCACAACAATGGTAAAACTCTGCACTGCAAACAGAGTCAGTATGGCCATAGTATCTCTCTATGCATTTCAAATGCTCAGTGAAGACTCGCTGTCGACTACCTCGAATGTTTGTAACAGTGCTTTGTACTATTGACAGATATAAGGCTTTGGTATATAAACAATGAGAATAAAGCCTCTGTTCGACCTGCCTTTCTTTTTGAATCTACAAGACAACTGCACATGGTGTTTTATCTGTCGTCTTTAGAAGGGTTCTCCTTGGGGATTATTTGGTGGAAGGAGAAAAACAACAACACATTTTGATAGAATATGATCCATCACCTGCCCGACGTGCAGAGCTCTAAAGAGGCCTTGTTGTGCTTTTTGGAGTTTTCACTTTCCTGTAGTGTGTTCTATAGGTTTTTATGCATGTAAAAGGTCTGAAAAGGCTAACATCCCTGAGGTTCTCCCCCCCCTCCCCCTGTTTGAAAGGCCTCCATTGGACTAATTTATTCACTTCCTGAACATATTGACATCACTTTGTAACACTCATGCTTCTATAGGCTAGCTCTCCAACACATTGTACGTGATAGATTAAGGGGCAGGACATCTCTAAGTGGTTGACTAATCACGACAGAGCCGGCCAGCTAACCAATCAGAGCAGACTGGGCTCTGGTTTCAGACAGAGGGTGAAAAGAGGTGGTGCAGCACAGGCAGTATGAGAAAAATATAAAGCTTTTTGAACATTAAAGCATGGAGACATGTCCCAGTAGAGACCTAAAACATACAGTGGGGCAAAAAAATATTTAGTCAGCCACCAATTGTGCAAGTTCTCCCACTTAAAAATATGAAAGAGGCCTGTCATTTTCATCCTAGGTATACCTCAACTATGAGAGACAAAATGAGAAAAACAAATCCAGAAAATCACATTGTCTGANAACACATTGTACGTGATAGATTAAGGGGCAGGACATCTCTAAGTGGTTGACTAATCACGACAGAGCCGGCCAGCTTACCAATCAGAGCAGACTGGGCTCTGGTTTCAGACAGAGGGTGAAAAGAGGTGCTGCAGCACAGGCAGTATGAGAGAAATAAAGAGCTTTTTGAACATTAAAGCTTGGAGACATGTCACAGTAGAGACCCTACATACTGATATGAAGCTGAAACTGAGAAGAACAGGGCCCCTTGAAGAGGAAGCTCTCCCGCTGCAATAACGGGTGTACGTAGTGGGAAACAATAACAATCCCCTAGCTTTACTAGTATATTATACAAAATATAAACAGATCTGATTTCATGTAGATGTGTTAATAAAAAGTGTCAGTCTTGTATTGATAAAACATTTATTATAATTAGTTATTTTTACAGGAGATTTCCACATTTCTCATTTTATGTCCGCCTTTATGACGGCGTACATGCAGAACACAAAGCCTGCCAACAGGAGAAACTCTTGCAAGGTTATAACATTCAATGTTACCTATGCATAACAGTTATACATCTGCACATCATCTGTTAACATTATGATAATTAGGTATCAACATAGCTACATTTATAACAAAATCAATTATGTAACAAAAGAGAAAAAAAGGAGGTTTATTTGTTAATTTATAAAAATGAATTTACAGTAACAAATGCTGTTTTACTAAACATTTGACAGTTTGTATTTCTTAGTTAAAAATAATCACCAGAGTTCTGAGCCCCAAGACGAAACTGTTAAAGTAAAACCAACAGTAAAAGAAAGAGAAGAGATTTTACTGCACACACACACACACACACACACTCTCCTATAAGATGTATAACGGACGCCTTGAGTCAGATGACTGTTTTCTTACATAAATTAAAATTAAATACTTAAATGGCACGGTAAACCATTAGCTTGCTCTGACCTATTGATTGGCTATAGTTTCACATAATGCTTAAAAAGTTGTTTTTTAACATATGATTGGTGGATGCCTCACATTTATTGAAATGTCTATAATAAGGAACAGGAAAGCTTAAAAAAACCACAATATTGCATTAAAGTAACAGCAGTTTTTAATGATATTCAAAGTTTGAGTTGAGTTATTACATTTTTATTTGAATGTTTTCCTATGTATTTAGAGATATGTTACCTGTACATGTGTGGGAGTTGAGACCAGAGATCACAGTATTAACCAGTACAGTGTGTATGAGCCTTCGCATAAGCTTTCACCAGATTCATGGTTGAAACGTGAAATCACGCAGAAACAAAACAAAATGGTGCATAGTCATTTTAGGAGAACCATGTATGAATAATTAGACGCGTACACTGAAGTAGATATCACAGTTCAGACAGACAGACACCAACGCTTCCCTCCACACTTTATCATTTGAAAACTCTTGGCCGTCTTGCCTGTTCATCTCGACTCATGCTCACTAGCTTTCATAGCGTAAACACTGCAAACCTTGATCACTGCAGGTGACATTTATAGAGATGATTTTGAGATCCTGTTTGTGTTGCCAGGATGCAGAGGAAAACAAAAACCTTTATAGTTTCAGGGCGGACAGTGTGGCGAGTTCATCTGAAGTCCTTAGCTCTTAACATCACTTTCTCCCAAGCAGCATGACCATAATCATTTTTCAAAGCAAGCAGAGTACCTCCCATTTAGTTCTGGACCATCTTCAGCAAAGTGCCGCCTGCAGTGATTGTCACCTGTCCTTTGTGATAGAAGGCATTCCAGTTTGCTCCAGGAGGGTCTTCAATGATCCATCCCCCCCCCCAGGACGCAGACCAGAGGCAGCTTATCTTCCTCAGGGCTGTGCATGTTGCCAACAGACTGTCTGAGGTCGGTTCACATATGTTAAGCCAGTTAAACCTTGATTTAATGAGAACTGTTGCCTTTAGGTCAGTGTTAAAAATGTCTGTCTGGCAGCACGCGCTTCACACCTGACTTTGGAGCCAGTTGCGAGGATCGAGTCTGGCCCTGAGGTTCCTGAGGCTGCGTCGGGCCGGGGAGGGCCGGGAGAAGGGGGCCCCCTCGGAGCACTCAGGGCTGTGGCGACCCTCACTGTTGCTGGAGCTGTTGCTGGAGGTGGAGCTGGAGCAGGAGAGCGTGGTCTGGGTGCTGCGCTGCGACCGAGGGGAGCGAGAGGAGACAGGGAGCGGGGCGAGCAGCGAGGAGGTAGGAGGCTGGCAGGAGCACTGGAAGGTCCCTCCCCCTCTGAACCCCCTCCCCCGCAGGGTGCTGAGCTTAGCATCCAGGGAGAAGGTGCGTGGCCTCATGCGGGAGGGGGACGAGGACAGGAGGGGGAAGTTTGAGGAGGGCTCGGGCCAGGCGTGGCGGTGGGAGCAGGGGCTGGTGCTGCAGTGGCTGTCGCTGTCCGAGGTCAGGCTGGCGTCTGAGGAGAGCAGGCTGAGCTGGGGGCAGCGGTGGGGGCTCGCAGGGCTGCGGGGGGGGCGGTGAGGTGTGCAGGGGCTGTGGCCGGAGAAGCGGGAAGTACAGGGGCGAGGGCGGCCAGCGCTTTTGGGGTTGTTCTCCTCAAACAGAGACATCCAGTTCGGGGAGGTGCCCAGCTGGCTGCGGAGCTCCAGCTCCTGCATCCTCCGAGCCAGGATGTCCGACACCGTGCTGAGGTCGTCAGATGACTCAATAACTGCAGCAGGAGGGACGCAGAAACACTCATTATTATACAGCTGTTTACTGGGCTGGAGCATGGGTTTTCAAATGAAAAGTTCTTACCATTTGAACTGGTAATACAGCCATGACTTGGAAATAATTAAAATGTTTCTTAATATTGTTTTTCATACTTAAGGCAGGGACTAGGATTAGTTTAATTCCAAAGTAATTTCAAACCTTTATTTAATCAGATTGGTCATGATCATCATGGTCATTGGTCATTGGTAATGAACATTTCGATCTCCCTGGAAGTATGGATTATGTACGGATTAGAGACATACTTGCACTTCATAAAATGTTAGTTTTAAATGTACTCTTAGAAGAAGAAGATGTAGAAGAAGATGTTTTGATGTGTTTTTTTTAAAAGTTATTTTATAATGATGAATGAAAAAAAGATCCTGTCCTTTAATGTTTTGCATAATATTCCCACCATCAGTGATCTTATGGTGGTTTTGCAGTAAATCCTGGACTGCAACATTTACCACAACATCATTTACATGGAGCCCTACTCCTGTTACTTCACCTGTCGTTGTAATAGGACGAGAGCAGAGCGCGAATCTCAGCAGACACAGCGTTATCCTGCAGCAGAAGACCCTCAGAGGAGGGCGTGGCAAGAGGGGCTGCCAGGGTGGGGGGGGTTAGGAAAACCGAGAGGGAAGGTTGGCGAGAGAGAAGGGGTGGAGAGGATAGGAGGTGTGCAACAGGTGGAGTTAAGTGTGTGTTTTGATGGTGGCGGGAGAAATCGATAAGGGTTTATTGTTTATTAAGGAAATGAATGTTATGGCATGATGACAGAAGGGAAAAAGAAATCACTCAAGGATAGTTGATGAAAAACGTGGCGTTGATTATACATATTTATGAGGACACGGGGAAATAATAAAAGGACAAAAGAGACAAAGTCAAGGAGCGATGGATTCAGGACACACGAGGAAAATTGGAAAGGACAAAGAGGAACGGAGAAAGAGAAGACAGACAGTCAGCGTGTCAGAGATAAGATTCGATTCTACAGAAGTCAAGCAGCAGAGTGTGAGTTCGAGATATCGGAGAGGAACATTTTATTATGACAGCATCTCACATGCACATAGACTGGAAGGAATTAAAGCTACACACAGTCACATGCAATGCAGACGCAATGCTTTCTCTCCCTGCCTCAACGTTTATGTTTTGTTTCTTATTTTATCGACTAAAATAATACTTTTTTATTTCATATTCACAATGATATTATCACAGTGAAATCTTACCCATTTCGTGATAGAGTGAGCCTTGTTTTGGTGTGACGGGAGTCGGTTTCCTTGGCGATGGCAGTTCAATTTTCATTAAGTCATCACAGCACTGTTTCCATTGGCCTGTATCATGAAGGAAAACTGATGTTAACGAACCAAGCGACAACAAGATATGGGAACCTTTCTGTAGCTGTGGTTAATGTGAGTAACTGTATTCACACGCTTCCTATGTTAAAGCAAACACTTACTCATATCGTAGAAATGTTGCCAAAAGGCCTCCATCCACCGGTGTGTGTCCTCGCGGCTGTCTGACGTCAGTGTGTGTGTAACCTCCTCACCTCCGTACTGGTTACTGATACAGATATTCTGAACTTTACTTTGAGGGTCTTTCTCTGACGCACGTATTCTGGTCTCCTGAAAAAAATGAGGGACAAAGAATATAATCATCTGCTACAAAATGACTACAATCACGAATGAATGCCAGCACTCCTGAATGAACAAAATTATGCACCGCAACAAGTGATCATTACAGCAATTGTAGTTGTGAGTCTCCACTGAAAATAAGCCCCTGACTAATAAGCCGCTAATTAGCCCTCTTCCAATCCATTTCCCTTCTGCAATTATCCAACAAAAGGTGCAGACTCCCAATTCCCACATCCTCGTTCTATTCCAAATGTGTCAAAGTGTGTTTTTGACCACTAGATGGCAGTGTTGTTCCATTCATCACCCCGCGCTCCCTCCTCACTCTTAATAAGAGACAACTGACTAACAAAAGGATCATACAGACTCTTCTGATGTGTCTGACTTGGCTTCAGGTCAGCTGTGAGATCAGGGTGAGAAAAAGACTGAATGAGTCACCACGGGAGGAATGGGAAGGCCCACAGGCATCAACTCAGACACAGACACATGAAATAAGATGATCAAGGACCCATGTCACTCATATTTGTGCCTGGAAAATCGGGACGAGGGATGAAAGAAATATGATTAGTAGTTGGATGAGCCTGAAAACTGTGTCTTACTGTGTTTGCAAAGACTGGAGAACACCCTTAACAAATCTCATTTTAAAATCTTCAAAGCCTTTTATCTGGAGAAGCCTGCTCTTTTCAAGTCTTGCTGAACATTTTACACAGTTACACCTGAAAGCTGAGAGCCAGTTTCCACCTCTTGGCTTTCAAGCAGCTCTACATTGGGTTACTAGGGGATACGTTCCTTGCTGAAAGGCACTTTAATAGTAGTTACTAGGAGAAGAGCTCATTTTTTCTTGGCTCATGGTCTACCAGCTGGCTAGAGATTCAAATTGGCAGCAAATCACAAGTCCATACCTTTCCATCTTTGCTACTGATGCCTTAAGCGTAAAACAAAACAACTCTATTGGTTTTGTAAGTCAGGATCAACCTCAGGTATTTTGTTGTGTTTCCTTTGCTGACCTTGTTGATGGCGATGGTGAAAGCTGGCTCGACATTAGCCTCTACATCTTCTTGCCGGTGGTAGCAGAAAAGGCTTGTTCCTTTTAGCACGCCGTACACTTTAGTCCAACTCTGAGGTTCACCTCCCAACTGCTGCGAGGTGGAGAAAAAGATCAGTCATGTGTGGAGTGAAAGACATGGAGAGAATCACCAAGAGAAGGGAGGAGGAGGAGGAGGAGGAGGAGGAGGAGGAAGAAATATAGACAGAAATAAACCAGGACAAAAGCCAAAAAACTCTTCAAACCCTGAAAGGGATATTTCCCCTTTCACACCTGCCAACTTACCTTCACTTTCAAACATCCACTCATCATCTGTCGGGTCATACAGTGAGGCTGAGCTGCGAAGCGACAACACATACTGCCATAGAGCGGCAGCCAATAGGAACACTCCTCTACAGGGAAGAGAAGAGATGGGCAAAAATAAACACCATGAATAAATAAAATATTCCTACATGATATATATCTACACACACACACACACACACACACACACACACACACACACACACACACACACACACACACACACCCACACACACACACACACCACACACACACACACACAGACACACTCACTCTCAACATGCTGCCCCCCCTCTAGCACACAGCAAAGGGGAAAGGGTGTAAAAGACTGGCAGCTGCAGGGAGTGTCATGAAGTGCAGCAATGAAACTTTACTGCAAGCTGAAGGGCCAATGAATAAAACACTAGGGGCCTGTCTGTCGGAGGGGTCCGGGCCCTTGTTAGCCCACATCATTACAGCTTTACACAGCAGACACCTCACTAGAGCAGCCTTTATAACTTTGACCTTGATAATGGCTGTCTGTCAGAGAACATGGGGGAGGGCAGAGAAGAAGAGGAAGTAGAAGAAGAAGTGGGAGGAGGAAGTGTACACTTGGTTTAAGGGAAATTATTAGAGTGCTGAGAACAGAAGTGAGACGGTGACGAGTGAAGCACAAGAAAGAGACAGATGGCGGATTTGGCAGAAAAAAGAGAAAGATGGAGAGCCGACAGATTGATGGAGGCTGCCACTCACCGTTGCCTGAGATGGTGAGGTCATGTGTGCGAAAACTGTCCTGGATGTGTGACAGCGACATGGTGGTATGAGCTAAAAGGTGGTACTTAGGACCCCTGTCAACACACAAGAGAAGGAATACACATTAATGTTTTGGTTTGAACAACCATTTTCTCAAAACAACTCCATAAAGTATTTTTGTTTCTGAAATAAACATTATTTCACTCTTTATTCTCCCTCTACTCTCCTTATTTTGTGTTTGAATGCAGCTTGTATCCTTAGTTAGACCCTCCAGAAAAACGCGATTCTGCGATCGCAGAATTTACCGCATAATCAGCAAAATGGCGCAGATTTTTT